GAAACAAATAACTTTCTTCTGAAACTCGCCAGTCTGTTCTTGTTCTGAGAAATGAAGTCTATTCCATGTGAGAAATTGGCAAGAAACTGAAGATCTCGTACAACGCTGTGTACTACTCCCTTCACAGAACAGCGCGAACTGGCTCTAACCAGAATAGAAAGAGGAGTGGGAGGCCCTGGTGCACAACTGAGCAAGAGGACAAATACATTAGAGTGTCTAGTTTGAGAAACAGACGCCTCACAGGTCCTCAACTGGCAGCTTAACACCGCAAAACACCAGGCGACTCTGGGATGCTGACCTTCTAGGCAGAGTTGCAAAGAAAAAGCCATATCTCAGACTTGCCAATAAAAAGAAAATATTAAAGATGGGCAGTCTGGCCAGAAACAAATACTGTTGACATTGAGACTGGTGTTTTGCGGGTACTATTTAATGAAGCCTATGTAGATATTCAATTTTTTAAAAATCAGCCGTTTCCAACTACAATAGCCATTTACAACATTAACAATGTCTACACTGTATTTCTGATCAATTTGATGTTATTTTAAATGGACAAAAAAAATTGCTTTTCTTTCGAAAACAAGGACATTTCTAAGTGACCCCAAACTTTTGAACGGTAGTGTGTATATATATATATATATATATATATATATATATATATACATACACACACACTACCGTTCAAAAGTTTGTATATTATATATATATATATATATATAAAATACTTTTTTTGTTGTTGTTTCTCTGTAATACTACCAGCCACCAAGCTTTAGCTAGCCCAGTTAGTTATGAGGTTGGTAGATTGGGAACCTAACCATTTCAGGCTATCAATCAAGTTAGAGTAGCTAGCTTGTCTAACCATCTTAGCTGGCATGCCTCCTGGCAAGGTTGGTAGACATTAGAAAAGCAAGCAATTACTAAATATACTGAATAAGACTCCCATTCCTTTCAATCTTTTACCCAGATTTATGCAGAGAAGCATATTACATTTCTTTAAAAAAATAACCACCAGTCAGGAGGATACAGACAGCTCAAGAGGTATGCTTAGATATGCAGAAAAATAAACATTTTTGATATAGAATTAAGCATAATGATTATGGTTTTAGATTGCAGGAAAAAGCCGTTTCAGGTGTTTGAAAAATACAACATTCTCCAACTTCTCAAATTCTCTAACCCCCCAGCCATCCTCACGTACTTTGTGCCCCCTCAGATGTTTGGGTGCCTGCATGACGCCTCTAGTTACAGTGATGGAATAACAAGTGGCAACACCTGTCAAACACTCCCCCATGTTCGTTTGACCTTCTGTTTCCAAAACCAAGTTAGGGCTAGATTAAATCTGTATCGCTTAAGTATCACAGAAGATCTGAGTTATAGCTTGATTTAAATTTAAAGGCAATGTTGCAGTGTTCGTGGATGCTGCATTCACAGTAAGCGTTGCATATTTCGGCTCAATCAGAAATTACCTTTACATTTTAACGCAGATCTTCCGTGATACTTCAGGATTGAATCCAGCCCTTAGACAAAACTGGATGAATGATTGTTAAATCAGTTGGCAAGTAAAGCTACCTGCCAGACAAAAATGTCTGTTCAACATACGGTTTTGGTAAAAGAGAAATGTGTGTTTCAATGAGACAAAAACTCATAGATGTTTTTTGAATTAGCAAATTTAACCAACTAGACAAGTTGAGTAATGACAAAACTATGTTGACTCAATCACATTTTGCCTGGAGGGTAGCAACTTCAGACGCTGTACAGGTATAATTAGAACAGATTATTTTGTTGCACAGTTCTATGAAAATAAACCACTTTGTGGGGACATCTTGGCACACTACACCCCCCATCACTTACTTGTTCTATTGAATTTTAAAAACATACTTTCACACTTTTGTCATAAATGTTTTACTTGTCACCACATAAATTTGGAATGTCTGAATAAATTCATGCTTTTTACATTACTATATAAATATTGAATAACCTGGACATATTACAAAAACTATGCTCTACAATGCAGACCAATGTACCAAAGTTAATCTCACACACACACACGACAATTTCACATTGATAGCCAAATCATTTTCTAATCAATTCTATGGCCAACACTTGTAAAGAACATCAGGGTTGTGTTCTTTCAGCACCAAACTGAAACTTGGGAGTGACTACCTGGACTGGTCCAATAAAAAATAGTATTTTTTGTTTTCCGTTGCATAGCGGTGTTTCCTCATGAACACGACCCAGCTCAAAGTTGTGTCAGGCCAGTGTGTATGTCAGCAAGAACGGCATGGACATAAAAATGAAGGAAGACAGAAAAGCAGAAGAGGTAGGATCCCATACTCATTTTCACACAGTGGGCCTCATTTATCAATCGAGTGCAGCACAAACGTGTGTAGGCTAATAATGTATATTGTTTCACGAACATTTCACCATTTACAGAATTTGTTTTTATGCTCAGTTTGTTTTTTGGTGCAAACAAATACCCCCCTTACAGAAAAATCACACGATTTCACATGTGGAGATCACGATTTCACATGTAGATATGTGACATTTAATGTGAAATCATATGTTTTTGGAACACGTCACATGATCACGTTTTCACATGTTGCTTTACATGTTATCACATTAACTTCACATAAGATCACGTGAAAACGTGTTTTTGGAACACTTCACGTGTTCACGTTTTTTTCCATAATGGCCTTTTCAGAGAACTAGAACTAGTTGTTAAGTAGACCAGAATAAATTACAACATTTTACTGACAATATGCTGTATGCATTTGGACAGTAATAATTCAAATGTCTTTAATTGAATAATCTCGTCATCTCATTATCAAATTATTCACTTGCTGTTTTTCAATTATGCTTGTTCTTGACTCACATTCTCCCTTAAAATAGCTTTTTTACAAGGTATTTATGCATGTTTGATAAACATGGGTTTTACAAATTAGTTTTTTAAACAACAAATACACAACATTTCTACCCACATGTGATGATTGAGGCCCACTGACTGCTTTTCTGATCGGCATATTGCATACTAAACATATTCTTAGGAAATAAAGGATGGCATTCAATCCAATGCGCATTATAGAGCAGTGCAGCCGACAACGCACCTTTTAAAGGCAATGTCCCAGTCTTTTGCTGAGAGCGCATTCATGGTAAACACTGCCGATGTCGGCTAAAGAGTGTGTTGCTCTATAACACACCTTAAATTGAATCCCGGACAATAAAAAAATTAAAAAGTGCACATTGAAAATTGTACAATAAACTTTATCACAGTATTAAAAGGGGTATTTCAACTAAAAATTATAGTTTGATAATTGTGTAACAAATCCTTTGATGAAGTCATTTTAAAAAGTAAGGATGGTACTTAATCCACTACGGTTTTGGGGTACAGCTCATGATTACCTTTTGAATCTGCATGAATGATTAATGCAGATGTGAACTGCAATAACCTATTACTAATTTGTTTTGGATTAAATGCTGTTTATTTAAAATGGTATGGTTACTTTGGACAATTCACCATGGATATAGGAACACGTTGATTGGCAGGAATGGCCACTTAATGGTATCTTTAGGGGGCACAATGTCAAGTCATGACTTTTAGTTAAAGTTCCCCTTTAATGCCTTGTATGGCTCCTGAGTTCCATGCATTTGGATATATTTTAAGAGGAAAAGCTGCAAGTAAGAGTATAATATGTTTTGGTCAATGTACAAGAATAATAAGAGAAAAAAAACATACATAACATATCAATACGACTAACTTTATAAAAGCCCTATGACTACATGTTCTATAGCACCAGAACTGTATAAAAAATGTTAAGTGAATAATTTCTTAAAGGCACTTAAACATCATGCATTAATGGCTGAAGAACGTGTTTGTATAACAAATTGACTTGACCGTGGTTCTTGCCATTTCATGTGTTAAGCATGAGAAGAAAAAGTTGAACAAGGATTAGGGTGGTACAACACCATTTGACCCTCTGAAACATGTCCTCTTGAATGTTGTGCCCTACATTACTCTCAGTGAATATGCCTAATATGTTTTACAGTATACTGTAACCTATATTTTCCACTTCCAAAATATCACACTGTCGATGAAATAGATTCTCATCACATTTCTGAAACTTGCTCTATAGCTGACACTCCCTTCAATATCACTGAGATTTGTCTCTGTAAAAAAAAGCATTTACACTAATTATTATCATTATCAATACCCTATACTTATTTGCACAAACAAATAAATCAATTGTCACAATTACAATTCACTATGCCCAAAACTTCAAGTGTAACACAGGAATTCACAAACTGAATTATATTCGTAACGTATTAAGTATCCCCTGAGACATTGCCATGTACCGCCTGATGATAATCAGTCAGTCAGCTTTTAGAGAACTGTATGTTCTATCATAATAGCAATGTTATTTTCTTGATTCCAGGTTAGAGGTTTTTGTTCTAGTTCTACCCTATAATTTGCATTGGTCAAGGTCATTATCAGTCCACAAATGTGTAAATGCAGCATTTCAGGCATGCAGCAGTTCAGATTGAGGCATCCGGATCCTTTCTTCGCATCTGAAGAGCTCCAGTGACAATTGGTGACACTTAATCACAGGCATTTCCATACAAGCAAACTGTGTGCGAGAAACAAAAGTAATATATAATTACATTCCTTTTATTCGGTTCAATCGGCATAACAGAGTAAATAGTTATGCCATCCATTTTAGTGTGTAATATTGGTTCCCTGAAGGAGGGGAATGGAACATAACACCAGGGTCGAGTTCGTTAGGGAAGTTTAACAGAAAATTGGTGCCTAATGAACACGACCCAGATAGTTCCACTATTATAGCTCTGTCCTCATTGCTCGTTACGGAGAGTCAAAACTTAAGGTGCCATGTCCTTATCTCCCTTGGGAAACATACTTTTTGTTACATCTGACTGTGGGATATCTCATACTAAATGTTTTGTGTCTCATTCCCCTCCCTCAGGAAACCAGGGTGACAGACATATCCTTTTACTTACCTGCAGTCATTGCCACCTGCACTGATCACATATTTGTCATCGTAGGAGAAACGTATATTTGTCACATGAGCCGAGTGGCCAAAGTAGCGCTTGTGTTTGGCCTATGAAAAGATAAATGTATAATAGTTATATTATTATAAGTAAAACAATTATTATTTCAACTGCAGAAAATATAGAAATTCACATTCTCAAGTCTAAGACTATGAGGTACATTTTTATAATATCAATAAAATCACTAATGTTGGTATAAAAAAAATGGGTGTAAATTGGTAGTCACGTGGAAAATGCTTACAAATTTTTCAATGCATGGAAAGTCAAAAAGCTTGACAAGGCCAAAGTCATCCCCGGTGACTACATTGAGGCCGGCATGAGAGACGCAAGCACAATTGACGTCAGCCTTTTCAGCGTTTCGCGGCCACACCCCCAGCACCTCATCTCCTAGTACACTGTGAAAGCAAGCAAGTTTACTGTTAAAAAACGTAAAGTTTGAATTGAAAAAAAATTATGCCATTATATTGGTGGTGGTATGTACATGTTGAATACTGTCATATTACACATTTATTATTATGATCGAAGTTGAGTCATCAAATGGAATCATGTAAATCATCAGTGTACTTAACTGTTAATGACTTTGGGCCCAAATCAATATAATACATATCAGACCCAGAACCAAATCTCATGTGCGCTGGTCAGCTAAATGTTAACAGTCGTCATGAGAGACTAATAAAATACAGCAGTAGAAAAGTTTGTTTTAGAGTGTCAAGCAGCTAGCAAGAAACTCGTACACGGCTCCACGAGGGGGCAAAAGAAAGCTTAGCCCCCTCAGTTGAAATTTGTGCCCCCTCAGTTTTAGTTTTATGTCCCTATCTAAAAACAGCAAAACAGTTCAAATGATTGAGTGACAGGTTGGCGCAAAATCTGTATTTCCGCTGCATTGTGTCAGCACAATGAACAGAGCATGCCATGGTGTGTGTAGGGGGGCTATGGAAAGCCACTGGGGCGCTGTGCAGTGGTGTAAAGTACTACTTAAGTAGTTTTACTATTCCAATTTTTGTCAACTTTTACTTGACTACATTCCTAAAGAAAATAACGTACTTTTTACTCTATACATTTCCCTGACACCCAAAAGTACTCGTTACATTTTGACAGGAAAATGGTCCAATTCACACACTTATCAAGAGAACATCCTGGTCATCCCTACTGCCTCTGATCTGGCGGACTCACTGCATCCCCACTGCTTCGTTGTAATTATGTCTATTGAGTGTGTCAAAAAAATCCTCCCCTGATCT